CCAAAGGAAAGACTTTGAAATCAGCCAGATCCAGAGCAACATTGAGGATGAACAGGCCCTGGGTGTGCAACTTCAGAAGAAAATCAAGGAGCTGCAGGCAAGTGTCTGTTCCTTCCCCTGCCTTGCTCAGGCTCAGCTCAGGCAGGAGGGGGGCAGGGGTGTGAAGGGTCCCTGCTGTTCTGCAGGCCCGCATTGAGGAGCTGGAGGAGGAAATTGAGGCAGAGCGAACCTCTCGCGCTAAAGCGGAGAAGCATCGTGCTGACCTGTCCAGGGAGCTGGAGGAGATCAGCGAGCGCCTGGAAGAAGCAGGAGGGGCCACAGCAGCTCAGGTGGAGATGAACAAGAAGCGCGAGGCAGAGTTCCAGAAGATGCGCCGTGACCTGGAAGAAGCCACGCTGCAGCACGAAGCCACGGCTGCCGCCCTGCGCAAGAAGCACGCGGACAGCACAGCTGAGCTGGGCGAGCAGATCGACAACCTGCAACGCGTGAAGCAGAAGCTGGAGAAGGAGAAGAGTGAGATGAAGATGGAGATTGATGACTTGGCCAGTAACATAGAATCTGTGTCCAAAGCCAAGGTACATAAATATTTTTATTAGGAATTTGATAGCACTGTGGTATTTTTTCTTTAATCTTAAATGATTTAATTTTTATCAGGTTGTATTATAAATGGTTTCTCCAAATATCATGTGTAGAAGTATGGGCGCATGTACAGTCCCAAGATGTCAACTGCATCTTGTGGACATATTTTCCTGCTAAAAGAAGGCAGAATAAAGCTATTTACTCTTTTTTTTGTTTATGTGCAATTGATGTCTAGGCAAATCTGGAGAAGATGTGCCGCACTCTGGAGGACCAGCTGAGCGAATATAAAACAAAGGAAGAGCAGAATCAGCGCATGATTAGCGATCTTAGTGCTCAAAGAGCTCGTCTGCAGACAGAATCTGGTACAGCCCTTCCATCTGTAATTTGGAAACGGGAGAGCCCCATAAATTGCTCTCTTGGTTATTAAAATGTTGTCTCAATTACAAACGTTTTCAGGTGAATATGGACGCCAGGTGGAAGAAAAAGATGCTTTAATTTCTCAGCTGTCTAGAGGGAAACAGGCTTTCACCCAGCAGATTGAAGAACTGAAACGGCAGCTAGAAGAAGAGATAAAGGTGAAGATACTCATGTTACATATGAAATAAATATTGGACATAATACTGTTTTTTTGTGAAGTGTTCAAGGCTTCAAAATGTGATCTAATTAGAAGTTGAAACCATCCCCTTAGATGGTGCAATCTAGGCCCTTGCAGTGCAGGACTTGCATGTTTTTATGGGGCAGTCAGTTAACCACTATCTTTTTGGGATGTATATCAGTGTATAAGTACCGGTGAGAGAAATTTCCCAGGAAACTCCTACTTCTTATTGCCATATTTTTGCAACCAGGCCAAGAATGCCCTGGCCCACGCACTGCAGTCTGCTCGCCACGACTGTGACTTGCTCCGGGAACAATATGAGGAGGAGCAGGAGGCCAAGGGGGAGCTGCAGCGAGCCCTGTCCAAGGCCAACAGCGAAGTGGCCCAGTGGAGAACCAAATACGAGACGGACGCGATTCAGCGCACGGAGGAGCTCGAGGAGGCCAAGTACGTGAGCATTGTGTGGAAGGTTGGCATACACCAGTAAGGGAAATTTAAAGACACAACTGAGATTTTCAAAGGCAAAAGCCTAGTAGAAGGTTGAGGAGTTATACGAAAGAGAAAAACACAAGGAAAACAGGCTATGTGACAAAGACTGCAGGAGCAAGGACATGTATGGGATTGTGCAAAGTGCAGAGGGATCGCAAGACTGCAGAGAAGCTGTGTCTCCCTGCAAGTGTTCAAGCCACACTGGACAGGGCTTGAAGCAACCTGGTCTAGTGGAAGGTGTCCCAGCCCATGGCATGGAATTATTGGATTTTTTGTCCCCTCCAATGCAACAAAGACATTGGGGAAATAAAATAGACAAAAAAAAGGCTGGTAGGGATAGGCTCTAAACCATGTGAATTAGGACCAAATACTAAGAAATGTCTCACTGATCTGGTGAGCATGATAATCAACATCCACCAATATTTCCAGTTAAAAAAGGTGCTTACCACTTTCCAGGAAGAAACTGGCCCAGCGCCTGCAGGATGCAGAGGAACATGTTGAGGCTGTCAATGCCAAATGTGCCTCCCTGGAAAAGACAAAGCAGAGGCTGCAGAATGAAGTGGAGGACCTGATGATTGATGTGGAGAGATCCAATGCTGCCTGTGCTGCTCTGGATAAGAAGCAGAAGAACTTTGACAAGGTCTTTTGGCCTCCAGCACCAGTACTCCTGGCCAGAGCATGGCCCCATGATGGCCACAGCCCTACTCACAACCCGTTTCTCTTCAGATCCTGGCAGAATGGAAGCAGAAGTATGAGGAAACGCAGGCTGAGCTGGAGGCCTCGCAGAAGGAGTCGCGCTCTCTCAGCACAGAGCTGTTCAAGATGAAGAATGCCTATGAGGAGTCCTTGGACCACCTGGAAACAATGAAGCGGGAGAACAAGAACCTGCAGCGTAAGTCCCTGGCCCTCTGCTCCTCCCTGGCCTTTCTCACTGTCAGCCATTACCACCATTGCTCATGGGTGTGTGCCTGCAGGTCTGCAGAGATGCCTGTCACCTTGGTGGGACAGGACCCTTCCCATTCTGCTCTGTGCCTGACCATGCCATTGATCTTTGTTCCACAGAGGAGATTTCCGACCTCACAGAGCAGATTGCTGAGCAAGGAAAGGCGATTCATGAGCTGGAGAAAGTGAAGAAGCAGGTTGAGCAGGAGAAATCTGAAATCCAGGCTGCTCTGGAGGAAGCTGAGGTACATGACCATAATCACTGGTGTCTGCAGTAAAGAAATGTGGAAATAGAGCTGACAAAGCCTGGCTCCTTCTCTCTTCTGGCTGGGGAGTGCAGACAGCTGAGATCTCTGGAAATATCCTATCCCTAAAAGGAAGAAGTAGGTTTATTGATGTTGTCAATGTTTGTGTCCACTTGTGCAGGCCTCCCTGGAACATGAGGAGGGGAAGATCCTGCGCCTGCAGCTTGAGCTCAACCAAGTGAAGTCTGAGATTGACAGGAAGATAGCAGAGAAAGATGAGGAGATTGACCAGATGAAGAGAAACCACCTCCGAGTTGTGGAGTCCTTGCAGAGCAGTTTGGATGCTGAGATCAGGAGCAGGAATGAAGCCCTGAGGCTGAAGAAGAAGATGGAGGGAGACCTGAATGAAATGGAGATCCAACTGAGCCATGCCAATCGTGGGGCTGCAGAGGCACAGAAGAACCTGAGAAACACACAAGGAGTGCTAAAGGTTCATTCAGCACACCAACAGAAAGAGAAAAAAATGAGACCCATGATATTTTTGCCACTCAAACGACTGACACCTGCTAATTTCTTTTCTCTTTCTTTCCAGGACACCCAGATCCATCTGGATGATGCTCTGAGGACACAGGATGACCTGAAGGAGCAGGTGGCCATGGTGGAGCGCAGAGCAAACCTGCTGCAGGCTGAAGTTGAGGAGCTCCGGGCAGCCCTGGAGCAGACGGAGGGGTCGAGGAAAGTGGGTGAGCAGGGGCTCCTGGATGCCACTGAACGTGTGCAACTCCTCCACACCCAGGTCAGGGCAGGGAGCAAAGAGCTGTGTTGACACTGACCAAACACAGAGGGCTGGAATTTACCAGAGAATCAGCAGTACTAGAAAAGCCTCTCTACTGATGTCGCCAAGGAAAGGCCTGTTTTGCATCTGTTCCCCAAGCCTACGCTTGACATTTTGTAAACAACCATTGTACTAATAATTCCAGAGTAAGAATTGGAAGCTGGAAGGGGAAAGTCTTTGTTAAGGCAGAAGGTTTATTATGGCAGGTTTAGAATTCATCTCTTGCCATGTCCTTCCCATTGCGCAGGATCTGGTGGACAAGCTGCAAATGAAAGTGAAATCCTACAAGAGACAATCTGAGGAGGCCGTAAGTATCTCTCTGAGTGCTTGGCAAGAACCACTTTCCCAGAGGGTAGTCTGGCCATTTAGTACACAGATATAAGCAATTTAGAAGATACCAACGGAGATGCTCTTCAATTTCAAATGCTCTCATATTCACTGAAAGGCTGACAAAATGGTCTCCCCTTTGAGAATGAAAACAATGAGCCCTTAAGAAGACTACTGAGGAGGGCAAATGCACATAGCATTTTTTGCATTAAAACCACAAAGCCTCTGATAATTTTTATGAATTATATCAGCAGTGCAATATATAAAGAAATTTTGCAAATACTTTATTTTTAGAATTTTTGATAGCAGAAAGGGAAGTTGTTGTAAGTCCCACCCCAAACCACTTTGCATTCTGCTTTTAGAATAGTGCAAGGAACCTTTGCTTGTTTCTGGGCATGCAGCATTCAGGGGTTGACTGAGGATCCTACAGCCCCTGAGTTTATGATTGTCTGAGAATGGCTTCTTCATTGTGGAAACAGTCCAGCAGAGAATAAGGCTTCTGGTTCAGTTAAGGGGATATATGAGAATGACTCTGCGATCTCATTAATCTCACTGTGGTGGGTGGAGTTTGGAGGTTTGTGACTCCGCCCAGGCCAAGGCCCTCTGAAAACAAAAACCCTAAATTTCTCACTATCAACTCCTTCTCCCTTCCAGGAGCAGCTGTCCAATGTCAACCTCTCCAAGTTCCGCAAGATCCAGCACGAGCTGGAGGAAGCCGAGGAGCGGGCTGACATTGCAGAGTCGCAGGTCAACAAGCTCCGAGCCAAGAGCCGGGAGTTCCATAGGAGGATAGAAGAGGAAGAGTGAGGATGTCACAAGGCACAAAAGTGACCTGAGGGCTGCACAAAATGTGAACCTCTTGGTCACTTTCCTTCTGCCATGAGCCTTTGTACCCACCTCAGTGTCTAGTGAATAAAGACTGTAGTAGATTCCTCTGCATACACACTATGGCCAGTGGTTTTGTTCTTTGGGTTTTGTCTTCCTTGGGCAATTGCATTGCAGAAGAAGTTTCCTTCCTTTTCCTCTCTGGGAGAAGGGAAAAGCAGGGGTCAGTGCTGGATTGAGGATCTGCAAACTTAGAGGCTGGCCATTGCCATGGAGACTCCTGAAAAATCCAGCCTGTGCTCTCTCCTGTCTCCAGCAGCTCTTTGTCCAGCTCCTGCCTAATGCTTCTCCCATTTTCCTTTCAGCACAGCTTCTTTCCCATGGGAGAGTCAAGAGAGGGTGATCCTTTTGCTTTTTCCTTTTCCTACTCTTGTTTGTGATGCTGGCCCTCATAAACCCTAAACACTAGTTTAGGTTTTGTTTGTCAGCAATCTCAACACTGAAGGGAATTTGAAATTGACCACTCTGATGTTTGTTTGTTACATCCATGAGCAATATCCCAAGTGCTTTCACCTTACCTGGCTCCCAACTGCAGCCTCACCACCTCTTGCTGAGAAGTCCATCCTGATTCCAGAGTCACTAACAAGCATTGACAGGCAGAACCTGTTGGTGTTGTCTGTGGAGAGAAATGGGAGATGGCTCTTTAGGAGCAGACCTCAGCTTTCAATCCCACCTTTCAGAAAGATACCCAAGGCCCTGCAGAGATGCCAGACTAGTACCTCCTTCTCATGACACTGCACAATTTTTCCCAAGGGCTTCTTAGCAGACTCCTAACCTTGTTCCTCGTTCCTCATCCCCTGAAGTCTTTTTACTTGCCTTACAGTGTGCATTGTTCTGTCTCTACAGCCAGGGCCTCCTGGCATGAACTCTTGCTTACCCAAGCCCACCTAGAGGCCGGCTGCTCCTCTTGGGAGCAATCCCACCTGAAGGCATCTCCAAAGCTTCAGGTAGGTCTGGGTAGAGTCTAGATGGCACCTAACATCTGTGAATATCTCTTTTGGCTGTAATGGCTGGTACAAGCATTAACTTCAGAGACTCAGGGACAAGTGCATATTCTCAGGCAGGACCTGTCCTGAGCACAGCTGGGCACTGCCGATGGCACTGAGGGATGACCCTGCCCCCCAGCAAACTCACAGCTCCCTCTGCCCTCACCTCCTGCACTCCAAGGCCACACCAAACTGCCCCTCAGCCTCCACAAGAGTCATTACTGGAGGAAGGGACAAGGCGGCAGGGAGCTTTGGAGGAGGCTCATGGCAGGAGGATCAGCCCATCACGTGTCTAAAGCTCACATTTTGGGCTCAATGTCAAAAGCCCAAAATAGCCCCAGTCTCCTAAGACTCCTGCGCGGGGTCGTGCCTGTTTGTGGGGGTGATCAGCTTCCACTAATAGTGCCTGAAGACATTCCTGGGCGGGTAGGCTGCCTTCTCTGTGGCACTGCAACGTGCTGCCCTGGAGGAGCTGGACACGTGTGCTGCGTCCCAAAGCAGCAGCTGCTATTCTTACCCCTGAGAGACTCACTGCAGCACAGCTCCATTGCCAGCTGAAAGGTTAAACATCAGAAAGGGGCCCGAGCATGCTCTCCCTGCTCAGTGCCTGAATCCAGAGTGTTCCCCTTTGGAGCCCATGCAATGGCCCTGTGCCAGCCCAGTGCCAGGGCCATTCCCTGCTGGGATGTGCTGTCCCATGGGCAGCACAGAAGCTGCCCAGGTACTTCCAGCAGTCAGCCTCCTTGGGCTGGATGGGGCTTTGCCTCTCTCATTTTAACCAGCAAATGGAAAAGACAGGCTGGGCTGTAGGTCTAAAAGTGCAGCTTTTTACAGCTGCCATCACCCAGGTCCCTGGTTGAGAATGAAGGCAGAGGCAGGGCTTGCTCTGAGGTCCAGCAGTGCTGCAGGGACCATCCATGTCCCTTTGCTCAGGCTGTGCTTTCCCAGCCCTCATTTAGGGAAGGCTGTAGGGCCGTACACCAGAGGTGCCTCGTGAGCCCCAGGAGTATCAGGGCTGCAGGAGAAGCCCTTGCCAGGCTGGTGGCTCTGACATGATGGTTATGGAGATTCAGCCCTCCCTGCATCTTGACTCCCCTGGCCCTCTGGAGAACTCAAGAAAGCTGTGTCCCAGCCAGGTACAGTCACCACGGGCAATCAGAGGACACTGAGCCCAGGACATCAGGTGGGATGGTGGCTGTGCCTTGCCCCTCAGGCCTTGGCTGTTGCTCTGACAGCACAGGACGTATCAGCTTTCTCCTCAGCTTGGGCCTTGTCACCTGACACGAAGTTCCTTTGGGATCCTTGGCAGGAAGCCGACAGCATTATTGCTGGTGAGGGGAGCAGGGGGTGCCGGTCCCACGGCCCCATCAGGCTCCTGTCAGTCACAGGGAGCTCCCGGGCAGCAGCTGAGCAGGCCCTCTGCTCCAGCACCCAGTGCCAGGGGATGGCAGCCTGGAGCCATCAAGGGGACCCTGCTGTGGGCCCTGCTCCTCTGTGGACCAGCAGGGAGATCTCCCTTTCTATGGGTTGGCCTTGGTCAGCAGAGGATCACAGTAACATGACCTATGTTCAGGGAACAGTTTATGGCTTCAAAAAATGCTTTGAGAAATTAATCAGTTAAAATTCCTCCATGATCTGTTAAGTACTTAGACACTGCATTCTGCTCAGGGATTCCATAAATATAAATTACTCCTACTGGAGGTAGGAGAGTTCTGTAGAAGTGCTATTCTATGCTGATGATTCTTCCTGAGCATCACTTTCAAAGACAGGAAGTGGGGCTACACGAACCTTTGATCTCACAAGGACAGCTTATTTTAGGTTATGACAGAGTTTCCTGCAGGGGTTAATACCATGCTCCTTCATTGTTTCCTTTTCCTTCCCCTTCCTTCCTGCTCTCATAATTACTTGCTGCTTCGATTACCTCTTCCTGTCTGCCAGGTTGGCCACCCCACTCACCTGCTGTGTAATAAGAGCTCCTCAGCTGCTTGGCAGGGGATAGAAAGGGCATCCTGAGCGTCACCTCCTTGGACGGGATCTGCTGCCCAGACCCCTACCGCCGATGTGTCTGTGGAGACAGGAGGAGTGTGAATCGCAGCACACGAGTGGCATGCTCTTGAAACTACCCATCCTCTAATCCCAGATTATGGATTTATTTGCCTCTCATGTTCAGCTTAAACTCACTCCAAGACTTCCAAGAATACCGCTCTGTGGGAACCTACTTGGAAACAAATTTGTAATTAAAGTTTCCCCTAGGACAGGTGCATTCACTTTATTTGACATGTAGTGGAGGTAAATCACATTAAGATCTTCAGAAATTAATTTCTGACTCGAGCAGAAGGGACAGCAAGGCCACCACAGCCCCTCCATGGCCAGCCAGTGACATTCAGCTTATCTTCACAGGTTCTCACACTTAGACACAGAAATTTTGAACATTTCTTCACATTTGCCATGGTAAAGAATGGGTGGCCTATTCTTTACCTGCATCTTTTAAGTTTTACCAGTTATGGTCCTCAGTAGTTCTTCCTCAGAAATCATTTATTGCTTCCAGCAGTTACCTCAGCCTATTCCTTCAGCCACATTTATTAGAAATGTTAGTTCAATGGCAAATTTCCTAACCAGATGTCACATCAAAATTACAGACTGAGCATGTTCTGCTCATAACTTAGCATGTTTCAACAAAACATTGAAAGCATGACCTTAATGGAGTGACACTGAATTGAAAACCAACCTTTTAATATAGAAAATGTGCTCTTACCCTCTCCAGGGCTCAGTGTCCAGCCATATCCGAGCAGAAGTTCGGGCGTGAGCAGTGCTGCTACAAAGCAGTGCTCTGACATTTCTGCTTGCCTTCTGCTGACATTCCTGGAAGATCTCATTTTACACAGAGTGTAGCAGAAAAGCTGCTGCAGCAGGGGCTGAGCATTCCCTGTCAGACTGTCCATGACAGGCTGCAGAAAAAACTACCTCTCTAGGCAGGCCCTACCTTAATGAAAGCAGGGCCAGCAGCAAACAAAAAACCATGGGATTTGGTTTTGTATAATGTATAATGGATTTGGATAATGTAATGCCATGGGATTGCATTAGTCACCTGGCAGTCCTGTGAGGTACTAATGGATTCTTAAGTAGGAGCTTTCGCTGTGTTTGAAAGCTTCACAAGTTAATGTATGAGTTCCCCATGATTTTTGGACATCTGTATTTGAGCACTGAGAGGAAAGAAATCTGCTATGAGACTACTAACCTGATAGTAAGGGTCTGAAATCAGCTTCGTTATGAGAAGAACACTTAAGCTGAGAAATAACAGGAATAGCTGGAAGTGTAGGAATTTTATAAGGAAGAAGTGGAACGTGATCAGAGTTATGGAGGCAATGTAGGACAGTGTGCATCATGGGAGCATAGACATGGGACAGTATGGACTGTGTAGGCAGAATACACAGGGGAAATGAGAAGGGTTTATGCTTTATGTCAGAGTTTTATTTGCTTGTGCAATGCTCCACTGTGGGGCTGCAGACATCCTGTCAGAGATGGGAGGAAAATGAGGGATGTTGTGATAGTGTCTGTTATGGGCCACCTGAAAGAGACACAGTAGTGAAGGGATTTCCACAAGTAGTAGAAACTCAAGTCTCCTCTGCCTTAGGGAGGTTTTCAGCCATGTGGACATCTGCTGTGAGGGCAACAGCACCAGGCAAACTCTGCCAGAAATTCTTAGGCAGTGCGGATGTCAATAGCTGAATGTAAATACTGGACAGGCAACACTGAATATTGGAAGCAGGGATGAACTTGTGATAAATACGATCCCAGATGGCACCTCAGACTGCAGCAAATACATGACTGGATGAAGGATCCAGCAGAAAGCTGGGGAGATAAGCAACAGAATTAGCACTCTAGATTTTCTAAGATTGGAATTCATTGCATTCCAGGAACTGCTAGTTAGCACGCGCTTTGCAGCAGCTTTGGAAGAGAAGAGACTGCTCAGAAGAGATGTGCTTTGTAAACACAATCATATTGACTTCTGGGGGCTATTTTCGCCTTCATCGGATGCTACATTACATGTATTGTCAATTCTCAAACAGCTTTATTTTCAGCTATGTCCACAGCTGTATTCAAACCAGGTTAAGACAATACTGCTTTTCTTTCACACCCTACTTAGTGATTTCTGCAAGCACTCACTGGCAAAGAGTACTAGAACCGAAAATAACATCTGCCCATACTGTATGGAGCAGTTGTAGTCTCCGATGGGTGTTACATGAGTTGCTTGAGCAGTGTGGTAGCCCCTTCTTTATTTGCAGTCGGTATTTCTGTCCTGAAAGGACAGCTGCTGAGAAATGAGGAGATACTTGGTGAACAGCCTGAAGCAGGAAACTTGAGGAACCTGAATTCCCTGAACAGCATGAGCATGGAGAAATTTTAACACTGGACTTCAGTGCTGGACATGGCAAGAGCTAGAAGGAATTCAGCTTCCCAGTTTTCATCTCTCCTGAGTGCAGTCTGTTCAGTATGAGTTGGCTGTCCAACCAAAAAAGGCAAACAGTGGTATGGTCAGTATACATTCCTCACAACTGAATTACTCATACTGGCTGCCACCAGTATCTTCCTTAGAGTGAGATGCTTCTCAAAATTCATGAACTCTCAAGTTTGTGAAATATGGAAGACTGATTTTCAAAAAATTCACCAAAAGCTGATTCACCAGAGCAATATCTTCCAGTCCCTGAGGCACAGCTCTTGCCCACTGAGAAATTCCAAGACATTTGAAGTGAAAATTTCACTGAACTCAGAGGGAACTTTTAACAGGTGTAACTCTTGAACATTTATACACACACCTTTGTGTCTGTGTGTGTGCATGTGTGAGCTCATTTAAGCACTCTATGGCAATTATAGTTTTAATGTTGCTATCTGGGATCTATAATTAAGTCACTGTTGCAATAATAGGAAATCCATTTGAATCACTTTTTGAATGTCAAATTAATCAATGATTAAGGTCTGCTAAAACCCTTTACACACAAACTGTTGACAGGTCTGGTATTATGATTAGAACCAACTGTACCTAGACTCTGTCAGGAGTTTAGAAATCCAGGGACCCTCTGTGAACCTCATAACTCAAGAGGATGATTTTTCTTATGCTTTTTACCCTTACCCTTTGCATCCCCAATTGTTATGCAAATAATTTTAAAGGAATTATTATTAGACTTTTCTTGATCTTTGCAGCAAGTAATAGAGCAAACCTTGCCATCAAACTTTGTTGTGCTTTTGCAAATTTATATTGAACCCTCTTTCACTAATGCCTTTGATGGTGATACTTTAAGCAACCTTAACTCATTTGCAACATTTGATTCCTCAACAGTCAGCTCAGGAATCTATTCAAGATCTCCATATCAAAGTAGAGTCTCCCATTACTTGGGATCAGGCTCCCAACTCACTTTATTTCAAATAATTTAAGCTATTGAGAGTGTCATGTACAGAAAACTCAGCTGTAATAGAATTTTACTTCCTGCTTTTTAGAAAATGCCACTAAAAATTGGTTCCCAACATTATTTGCTAGTTTTTGACATATTTTCCCTGTTTCTCCCAATGCATGTGTTCCTAAAGCATCATAGGCGTTGTCATCACCATTACATGACTGAAAAGTTGTGGTATAAACATTCCAAGGAAACTACCATGGGTCAAGGAGCAAATCACTGAGAAAGGCAGCAATAGAACCATGCAAGTTCTCTAAGTGCCTTGAGTAGTCTAGATTCTCTCCTTAACACTCTTGACAAATTATTTATAGATGTATTCACGTAGTCAGTAAGATATAAAAATGTTCTAATTATATCATTCAAATCAAGTGACAATTATGCCCTTAGTTTGACAGACAATGCTTGGCCAAAAAAGGGTTGCCAGAAATGTTTTGACCGAAGAAAGGGGGTCCATCTGCAGCATCTGCAGACGAGACACTATAAAATCTGCCAGAGACAAGTCTAGTCTGTCTCTGCAGAAGGCTTCCAGGTAAGTGCATGCATTTCATGAGCTTGAAGAAAGAGGAAAATGTCCTTGCAATATCCTGTTTAATTTCTTCTGTCTCTAACAACCATTTCCATGAGGGAGTGCCGATGTGAACAAAAATTTTCAGTGTAATTTTAATGCATGCCTGTATTTTCAATCTACAGTATCTTATGGAATTCTGCTCAGCAATAAGAAACAACTGCCATTCCTATTTTACAGGATTGGCCATATTCCAGGATACAAGCTGTTACCCAAAGGTAATACACTGAATAATCCATTCCTAATCTATATTCTAGGACAGTACTTTTAAACAGCTGCACAAATTCTCTTCATAAATCCTCTTATATTCCAGGTGAATTTGCTTAGGTTAGGTAGTTGGAAACAGGGAAGATCTAAAAAATGAAGTAATTTTTCATTTTTAATAGAAAAGGTAATCCTTCAGCAAGAAAGTACTCTCTTGAAGACTCATTGCTTATAATTAGGGACTCAAACAGAGAGCGATTTTTCTATGACTAGATTCTTTTATGTGAAAATTCAAATCTTGTCAGAATTCAGGGTGACTTACCAAATTGTACTCAATATTCAGATGGTCTGCTTACTGTTACAAGATCTACATGTTGTAGAAGTCTAAGTCTTACTCTTGGGTTCAGACTAGGGCACTTTTAACTTCAGATCAAAGTGGATTTAATTGGTTTCTTCCTAAGAGTTTATTTTGGAGACTAACTAGGAATTTATTTGCTAAAAAGCAAGGAACAAGGAGCTTTCTCATAGGTATTAATTGTATTATTCTTCTTAATGACCAATAACATTTTCTTCTTCACAAGACACCTCTGCTGACCAGCTTCCATTAGAGGACAGACATGGCCTCTGGAGATGCTGAGATGGCTGTTTTTGGGGAGGCGGCTCCTTACCTTCGAAAGTCAGAAAAGGAGAGAATTGCAGCCCAGAACAAACCTTTCGATGCCAAGTCATCTGTCTTTGTGGCTCATCCCAAAGAATCCTTTGTGAAAGGGACAATCACGAGCAGGGAATCGGGAAAAGTCACTGTCAAGACTGAGGGGGGAGAGGTGAGTCAAAAACAAGGCTCAAGAACAACATTTGATCCCCACTTTGAGCTTTTAGGTGATACACATGGATCTTTTGTTTTCTTGGCAGACCCTGACTGTGAAGGAAGACCAAGTCTTCTCCATGAACCCTCCCAAGTATGACAAAATTGAGGACATGGCCATGATGACCCACCTGCACGAACCCGCCGTGCTGTACAACCTCAAAGAGCGTTACGCAGCCTGGATGATCTACGTAAGTGGCAGCAGCAGCTTCCTCTGGGCAGCCTCAGGAGCTGCTGGACCAGGCTCAGGCGAAACCAAGGTGCTGTGTCCCTTCCTTGCAGACCTACTCGGGTCTCTTCTGCGTCACTGTCAACCCCTACAAGTGGCTGCCGGTGTACAACCCCGAGGTGGTGTTGGCCTACCGAGGCAAGAAGCGCCAGGAGGCCCCTCCACACATCTTCTCCATCTCTGACAACGCCTATCAGTCCATGCTGACTGGTGAGTGCTTGATTTCCTTTGAGCTGCTCTTGAAATTGTCTATCTGTAGAGGGAAATGTAGGGTATTCTCTGGAAATATGGTGCCGCAGTTAAAAAGAATTGTGTGTCTGAAATTAATGGAAGATTAATGCATTTAACTCTAATGGTCTGTGAGAGCTGAGTGTCAATGCTCCCATTAGAATCATTAAAGATCTGGACATAACCTAGAAGGTGTAAATTCACTGGAAAGAAATCACCTATGATGTGGTGTGGACCTTATGGCTATAATAGAATCTTACATATATGGATGGATTAATGTATGTTAATCATTAAATTAGTCTCAGACGGAGAGCACAGGGTACAGTTAAATGACACATACCCTATAAATAATGTGCATAATATCAATTTAAGTTTTCAAGCATCAGTGCTGACAAATAAAACAGAGAGCTCTACCTTAAAGAGGTATGTAAGCCTCATCTGAGACCTTAATATGCAAATAGATTTCATTATGTAGATGATGGCCATGTGATCTAAATTACATACAGCCTTTAATGATCTCTGTAACTCATGCACTGGTCTGTAGCTGCACCTATAAATCAATTGCACTGTACAGGGAAAACAAAGCTTCATAAAACAATATCAAAGAAAAAATAAAGCTTTTAACATTTAAATTGAACAACTTAAAAAAATTCTTTCCATTTTCCCCTCTTCCTTTCACCTCTTATTTTTTCTTCCTTATATATGCATTGCAATTAAAGGTGTGCAGAATTTTAGAACTTCTTCTCCTGTTCTTTCCTTAGACTCTGGGAAATACATTCAGAATAGAGAAACAAAAAATGAATGTTGTCAAAATAAATCTCAAGACTGCATAATTTTTGTATATAGAGGGATTTAAAAAAATAGAGGTGAAAAAGGATGAAAGATGTTGGTCAGATGTTTCTGTAATTAACGATGCTTCCAAATTTTGATAATATTATTCAAGAGACTTTTACCTTCTGAAGAATTTACATACAAAACAATTACAATCCTTAATATTTTCATAACTTCTACTTGCCTATTAAAAGAGAAATAAGTAGCTTGATGGAAAGACAATGTCAGGAAAGACATAAGACTACTGAAGTTTCTCTGCAGTGATTCCTTTACAGAACCAGTTGCTAAGATCTGCAGTGCTGCTGACAGCATCAAAAGTACCCACTAGAATTTCCTGGGCACTTTTTGCTATTTTCTTTTCCTGGATCCTCTGGAAGCTCCAGTTCTTATTTTTCTCCTAGTTCTTATTTGTCTTCTCTTACCTCTGTTTCTTACCTCTGTCTCTTCACAGATCGGGAGAACCAGTCCATCCTGATCACGTACGTACACCCCCTGCGCGGGTCCCTGCGGGGCTGCCCGGTGCCAGGGCACCTCCTGCCTGACCACGCACCCTCTGCTTCTCTCTTGGCTTTGGCAGCGGAGAATCCGGGGCCGGGAAGACTGTGAACACCAAGCGTGTCATCCAGTACTTTGCAACAATTGCAGCCAGTGGAGAGAAGAAGAAGGAGGAACATGCATCAGGCAAAATGCAGGTAAAGTAGTACATACATGTTGGGATCAATGCTTTCCTTTTTTCCTGACATGATTTTTGGAAAGGAAACTAGCAATAATTATCACCCTGCAGGGAACGCTTGAGGATCAAATCATCAGCGCCAACCCCCTGCTGGAGGCCTTTGGAAACGCCAAGACTGTGAGGAATGACAACTCCTCACGCTTTGTGAGTTATTAATTAGTACAACTGTCAACATCAATTTGAATATTCTTGCTGTCCAGATTGGTAAAGTAAGTCTCAATTGACTTTCCTGCTGCTTTCAGGGTAAATTCATCAGAATCCATTTTGGTGCCACAGGCAAATTGGCTTCTGCTGACATTGAAACATGTAAGACACCCTTCTGCCTGATCCCCCTTCCCCACAGCCTTCCCCACTTCTTGTGCTTGACTGTGTCCTACCTCCCTGGGCAGATCTGCTGGAGAAATCCAGAGTCACTTTCCAGCTCAAGGCGGAAAGGAGCTACCACATCTTTTATCAGATCATGTCCAACAAGAAGCCAGAGCTAATCGGTAGGAAAGATCACTAACTTTTTTGAAGGAAGATCACTGAGCAACAGTTCATTGTGTTATCTGGAAACTAAATTAAGCTTGTTTTTCTCCTTCTGTTGCTTTCAGACATGCTTCTCATTACCACCAACCCTTATGATTTCCACTTTGTGAGTCAAGGTGAGATCACAGTCCCCAGCATTGATGATCAGGAGGAGCTGATGGCAACAGACGTGAGTAACTCTAGCAAATGATTATCTGGTGGACTTGAGCCCTGGTATATGTACATTGTGTTTCTACTCCCAGAGTGCCATTGACATCCTGGGCTTCAGTGCTGATGAGAAAACAGCCATCTACAAGCTGACAGGGGCTGTCATGCACTATGGGAACCTGAAGTTCAAGCAGAAACAGCGCGAGGAGCAGGCAGAGCCTGATGGCACAGAAGGTATCAGCAGAGTCAGCAAGTTTTCCAAAGGAGATGGTCTTTATTACATAAGGACTTATGCAGATTTCAGGCTTTAAATGTGGAAACTAAGAATGGCAGTAGTTGCTCCATGCCATTTGAGGCATTTATCTCATTTAATGATACCTCTACTTTTTCCTCTGTCACTACTATATAAGAGATCCAGTGTACACTGACAGTAAGCCAGGAGACTTGCATGTCAATTGCTCTAACATTCTAATCATACTTAAGTTGAAATACACCTTGCAACCTCTGCTGTAGTATGGAGCAGTCTTAACAAGACAGAAAGCTGTGCTCCTCTTCACCCTCACCTACTGGAGAGAACTCTGACATGAGATGTGTACTTCATTAGTCTCTGTCATAGCAGGAAGGACAGTCCATACCTCCATCTTTCTGAGTGATAAATCCTCCTACTATATGACTAGAAGTCTGAAGTTCCATGCTGACACCTGAAAGAGAATAAAGGCAAGGAGCTCTCTTGAAGACTGTTTGCAGAATCTGAAGCTCAGGAAGAGTTATAGACTCTGAGTCCTGTACACAAAAAGAGAAATTACCTTTTTTAGCTTTGACAGATACTGTTGTGCAGCCTTGTGGAGAACACTGTTGGGACAGTCAAGCACTGACTTTTTGAATATCTACTCTTCTGTCTTTTCTGGTGATAGTTGCTGACAAGGCTGCCTACCTGATGGGTCTGAACTCAGCAGACCTGCTCAAGGCCCTCTGCTACCCCCGTGTCAAGGTGGGGAATGAATACGTGACCAAGGGCCAAACTGTGCAGCAGGTAGACAAATATGGTAATGTGGATCATGCTATGATGGTTTCCACTGATTCTCTTCTGCTGTGTATAGTAACATCCAAAGCTTTCTCTATGCTTTAGGTGAACAATTCAGTGGGTGCCCTGGCAAAGGCTGTCTATGAGAAGATGTTCCTGTGGATGGTTGTTCGTATCAACCAACAGCTGGACACAAAGCAGCCCAGGCAGTACTTCATTGGTGTGCTGGACATTGCTGGCTTTGAGATCTTTGATGTAAGGAGCACAGCCTTCCTAGAATTTTTGTAGAATTATAATTGAGAATTTTGAAATATATTTAATAGAAGTGACTATTTCCCTACACTTTCTCGTAGGGCTTTTGGAATCATGTTTTTAATCCCAAAAAACCAAGAGAATAGAAAACTAATCTTCTCATTGCTCTAAATTAGAAACCTCTCTTTTCTAAATATCCTAGAGAGATAACAAAGGAAAAATACACAGGAAGGGGACTTGCACTTAAAGTATAAGACATGGTGAATTAGGATTGTACAAGAAAACACCTTGGTATTATTGCTGATCCTTGAAAGTGTTGTATGTCTTTTTATGTCCGGCAGTTCAACAGCTTTGAGCAGCTGTGCATCAACTTCACCAATGAGAAACTGCAACAGTTCTTCAACCACCACATGTTCGTGCTGGAGCAGGAGGAGTACAAGAAGGAGGGGATTGAATGGACATTCATTGATTTTGGGATGGACCTGGCTGCCTGCATTGAGCTCATTGAGAAGGTATCCTTCCTGTTCAATTTTAATATAAATTTGGTGTTCTATGATTGCCAAGAGAACTAAGAAGCATGTGAGAATATTTTGGTTTCTTCAAATATATACTCTGTGAAAGTCGCAACAGGGTAGAAGTGTTTTTGGAGATCATTACTCAGATATGAAGGCTTTTGGTTAGAGAATTCATTGCCAAATTACAAAATGAAGTGAAAAATGTGGTTGTGTTCTCTAAGTACTTACCAGTAAACAGGTTTTATGGAGAGAACAGTATTTCACATTGTCATATCTATAATAATTTCATCAGCAAAGGCATTTCCATAATTTTGAATGAAACAGCAACATGAAAAAATTGAGCCTTACTTGATTTTCTCTGACTTAAAGTCACTTTGGGAAGAGCTTCCTTTTCTGGTTTCAGCAACTTTCCAGCCAAGAGATGTCTCCCTTCTAATCTGTTTCTCCCTCTTGTCTGTCATAATCTCTCTCAGCCCATGGGCATTTTCTCCATCCTGGAAGAGGAGTGCATGTTCCCCAAGGCAACTGACACCTCTTTCAAGAACAAACTCTATGACCAGCACCTGGGCAAGTCCAACAACTTCCAGAAGCCCAAGCCTGCCAAAGGCAAGGTTGAGGCCCACTTCTCCCTGGTACACTATGCTGGAACAGTGGACTACAACATCTCTGGGTGGCTGGAGAAGAACAAGGACCCTCTGAATGAAACTGTCATTGGGCTGTACCAGAAATCATCTGTGAAGACCCTGGCTTTACTCTTTGCCAACTATGGTGGAGCAGATGCAGGTCAGTTTTATAGAAATTGTATTTTTAATGTGGGAGACCTGTCACAGAATTAAAGCCATAAACACTAAACATTTAAAGTTGTTTCATGTTAATTTTAAAACTTTTTTGTTTTCTTTTATTCAATTTGCAGAGGCTGGTAGTGGCAAGAAGGGGGGCAAGAAGAAGGGTTCTTCTTTCCAGACTGTCTCAGCTCTTTTCCGGGTATAGTACTGTATGTCTTATCTCTGAAATGTGAAGAAATGGGGTGAGCTAACATTAAATTTGAGAGAGCTATTTTATATTATTATAAAGGGGGTAAATTTCTTTGGAAATTCCACATCAGGTTTTCCAGGGTCTCTCAGCCCATGGGCATCTTCTCCATCCTGGAAGAGGAGTGCATGTTCCCCAAGGCAACTGACACCTCTTTCAAGAACAAGCTCTATGACCAGCACCTGGGCAAGTCCAACAACTTCCAGAAGCCCAAGCCTGCCAAAGGCAAGGTCGAGGCCCACTTCTCCCTGGTACACTATGCTGGAACAGTGGACTACAACATCTCTGGGTGGCTGGAGAAGAACAAGGACCCTCTGAATGAAACTGTCATTGGGCTGTACCAGAAATCATCTGTGAAGACCCTGGCTTTACTCTTTGCCAACTATGGTGGAGCAGATGCAGGTCAGTTTTATAGAAATTGTATTTTTAATGTGGGAGACCTGTCACAGAATTAAAGCCATAAACACTAAACATTTAAAGTTGTTTCATGTTAATTTTAAAACTTTTTTGTTTTCTTTTATTCAATTTGCAGAGGCTGGTAGTGGCAAGAAGGGGGGCAAGAAGAAGGGTTCTTCTTTCCAGACTGTCTCAGCTCTTTTCCGGGTATAGTACTTTATCTCTTATCTCTGAAATGTGAAGAAATGGGGTGAGCTAACATTAAATTTGAGAGAGCTATTTTATATTATTATAAAGGGGGTAAATTTCTTTGGAAATTCCACATCAGGTTTTCCAGGGTCAATTTTAACATTGCAAATATGTCCAAAAATAATCATTCAGTTTTCAAAATCTGGAAATATAATTTGTAGTGGTTTTATTTCTTATTTTTTTTTATTAGCAGATATCATTCAGATCTTCATATTTTTAGGTCTGTCTCACTAGAAGGGTTATATTAGTATTCCTCCATTTCTGTTGAGGAGTTGAAAAGAATTTCCAAGGAGATATATGTTTCATTGTAAAAAAATCCCTATTTTTTAAAACTAAAGTAGATTGACTTCTGAAGGCAGAATGTGAAAAATTGAAGTAATTTATTTTTCGTGAATGTGTGAAATTATATATAAGTTTTCACTGAACCAATAGCAGCACTGTAGTATTTCAATCTGGTGCTCAGTATCTTCTAATAGAAGAAATTTTTTGGTTTTTGTGACTTTATCGAAATGCTCAAAACCAGCTTGAGAACTTTGCAAAATCATTACCTTGGTGCATCAAACACTCAATAAAAGGAAACTCACACTGGTAACTGGTTACTCTAGGAGAATCTCAACAAGCTGATGACCAATCTGCGGAGCACTCACCCCCATTTTGTGCGCTGCATCATCCCCAATGAGACTAAAACACCTGGTAAGAACCCCAAGCAGAAAGATCCTTGCTCTGATACATCCATTCCCCTCTGCTCTGAAATTTGCACTCATTTGTGCTCTGCTTTGCCAGGTGCCATGGAGCACGAGACCAACCCCCCCCTTCACTGCCTGCCTGGGCTTTGCTCTCTCTACCTGACAGTGATGTGCTGCAACATTGCCTCTCTCAAGGTGTTCTTCAAAGCTGGGCTGATAGGGATCCTGGAGGAGATGAGGGATGAGAAGCTGGCACAGCTCATCACCCGCACCCAGGCCAGGTGCAGGGGCTTCCTGATGAGGGTGGAGTACCAGAGAATGGTGGAGCGCAGGTACACCTTCTTCTTCTTCCGTTAAAGTCATTTTGCTCATGGGAAAGTGTTGACATTCATCAGACTGAGAATATTCATTGCATTTTTAAATTATACCTCAGGGCCAAAGGAAAGACTTTGAAATCAGCCAGATCCAGAGCAACATTGAGGATGAACAGGCCCTGGGTGTGCAGTTTCAGAAGAAAATCAAGGAGCTGCAGGCAAGTGTCTGTTCCTTCCCCTGCCTTGCTCAGGCTCAGCTCAGGCAGGAGAAGGGCACGGGTGTGAAGAGTCCCTGCTGTTCTGCAGGCCCGCATTGAGGAGCTGGAGGAGGAAATTGAGGCAGAGCGAACCTCTCGCGCTAAAGCAGAGAAGCATCGCGCTGACCTGTCCAGGGAGCTGGAGGAGATCAGCGAGCGCCTGGAAGAAGCAGGAGGGGCCACAGCAGCTCAGGTGGAGATGAACAAGAAGCGTGAGGCAGAGTTCCAGAAGATGCGCCGTGACCTGGAAGAGGCCACGCTGCAGCACGAAGCCACGGCTGCCGCCCTGCGCAAGAAGCACGCGGACAGCACAGCTGAGCTGGGCGAGCAGATCGACAACCTGCAACGCGTGAAGCAGAAGCTGGAGAAGGAGAAAAGTGAGCTGAAGATGGAGATCGATGACCTGGCCAGCAACATGGAGTCTGTCTCCAAAGCCAAGGTATGGAGTTTCTGTCATGTTACTGCCGTATTATACACACTCTAATACATGACTGATTCTCTTTGTATTCTTCTATCACATCCAGTTGCATTGTTTTTCACCTTGAGAACTGTATGCTAGAACTTAGTGGTAGTCCTCTTTTTGACGTGACTTTGACACACAGGCAAACCTGGAGAAGATGTGCCGCACACTGGAAGATCAGCTGAGTGAGATTAAGTCCAAGGAAGAAGAACATCAGCGCATGATCAATGACCTCAATGCTCAAAGAGCTCGTCTGCAGACAGAGTCAGGTAATACAACCCTATATCCCCTCAAAAGGAACAACAGGCAACCAATTATAACGAGAAAAAAGATTTATGCTTTACTCAAATTGATCTATTCTCTGTAAGCTGGTATACTGTGCTTAAAAGAAATATTGATTTTAAATGGCAATCTGTCTGAAAACTTTCTTAGGTGAATATTCACGCCAGGTGGAAGAAAAAGATGGTTTGATATCTCAGTTATCCAGAAGCAAACAGGCATTCACTCAACAGATTGAGGAACTGAAGAGACATTTAGAGGAAGAAATAAAGGTAAAGTCACTTCCTGTAGGAGGCTGATTTTGGATTGGGAATCTGTTTTCTTTATGGATATCTCCTACTCTCACGTTAAATCAGAATGTTAGCTGTATCATTTTAATTTTTGAGCTATCAAGCAAGGTGATAAATTTTACCTCCTCCCTCTGTGGTGTGAAAAGCTGAGGAAGACATCCCCTCCAATGTGGATACAGAGATATGGAAAAACAATTTTAGGTCTTTAATCAATTTATGATGACAAATAAAAAATGATTGAGAGATATCTAAAAAGAAACTGAACATCTTAGTCTACTTTTTCACAGTGGCAGCTGAAACTTTAGAACATATTTAAAAGGATGCAATAATTCGCAGCTGTATAGCTGTCATTTAGAATTTGTCCATCATCTCTCCTGAGAAGGCAGTCTAGATTCTTGAAACATGGAATGAATATGCCATTTTTTCTTGATGTGGCTTGAAATATTATAATCCAAGAATTTTCAACAACTTCCATCAAGTTTCCATTTTACTATCTCATGGGAAATTAATTGTCCTAAACCAATTGTCCCCCAAGGCCAAGAATGCCCTGGCCCACGCCCTGCAGTCCGCTCGCCATGACTGTGACTTGCTCCGGGAACAATATGAGGAGGAGCAGGAGGCCAAGGGGGAGCTGCAGCGAGCACTGTCTAAGGCCAACAGCGAAGTGGCCCAGTGGAGAACCAAATACGAGACGGACGCGATTCAGCGCACGGAGGAGCTCGAGGAGGCCAAGTACGTGGTGATAGAAAAAGCAGAAAAGACTGAAAACTCAAAGGTTACATTGCAAGGGAAACATCACTATATTATGAGAAATAAGTTAGGGACCTGATCTGCAGAAGAGCAATAGAAAATGAGAAACTTTATCCTATAATATATTTAGTATCGTAGTAAAAGCAAAGTACAGCATAAATGTAGCCCTTAGCACTGTGTGACTGTAAACTGCAAATTGATTAGGCACACTATAATAAAAAACACGCACTGATACTCAGCATTAATGTGAGCTGACCTTATATCTCCCAGGAAGAAGCTAGCCCAGCGCCTGCAGGATGCAGAGGAACAGGTTGAAGCTGTCAATGCCAAATGTGCCTCCCTGGAGAAGACAAAGCAGAGGTTGCAGAATGAAGTGGAGGACCTGATGATTGATGTGGAGAAATCCAATGCTGCCTGTGCTGCTTTGGATAAGAAGCAGAAGAACTTTGACAAGGTCTTTTGGCCTCCAGCACCAGTACTCCTGGCCAGAGCATGGCCCCATGATGGCCACAGCCCTACTCACACCCTGTTTCTCTTCAGATCCTGGCAGAATGGAAGCAGAAGTATGAGGAAACGCAGGCTGAGCTGGAGGCCTCGCAGAAGGAGTCGCGCTCTCTCAGCACGGAGCTGTTCAAGATGAAGAATGCCTATGAGGAGTCCTTGGACCACCTGGAAACAATGAAGCGGGAGAACAAGAACCTGCAGCGTAAGGCCCTGGCCCTCTGCTCCTCCCTGGCCTTTCTCACTGTCAGCCATTACCACCATTGCTCATGGGTGTGTGCCTGCAGGTCTGCAGAGATGCCTGTCACCTTGGTGGGACAGGACCCTTCCCATTCTGCTCTGTGCCTGACCATGCCATTGATCTTTGTTCCACAGAGGAGATTTCCGACCTCACAGAGCAGATTGCGGAGGGAGGAAAGGCAATTCATGAGCTGGAGAAAGTGAAGAAGCAGATTGAGCAGGAGAAATCTGAAATCCAGGCTGCTCTGGAGGAAGCTGAGGTACATGACCATAATCATTGGTGTCTGCAGTAAAGAAATGAGGAAATAGGGCTAACCACATCTGGGTTGTCCTCTCTTCTGGCTGGGGAGTGCAGACAGCTGAGATCTCTGGAAATAGCCTAACATTCCCTAAAAAGCAAACAGTAGCTTTATCAAGGTTATCAATGTTTGTGTCCACTTGTGCAGGCCTCCCTGGAACATGAGGAGGGGAAGATCCTGCGCCTGCAGCTTGAGCTCAACCAAGTGAAGTCTGAGATTGACAGGAAGATAGCAGAGAAAGATGAGGAGATTGACCAGATGAAGAGAAACCACCTCAGAATTGTGGACTCCATGCAGAGCACCCTGGATGCTGAGATCAGGAGCAGGAATGAAGCCCTGAGGCTGAAGAAGAAGATGGAGGGAGACCTGAATGAAATGGAGATCCAGCTGAGCCATGCCAACCGCCAGGCTGCAGAGGCACAGAAGAACCTGAGGAACACCCAGGCTGTGCTAAAGGTCCGTTCAGCAGAGCTTCACAAATAGAAATGAGATCCACGATATTTTTGCCTCTCAAACAACTGACATCTATGGGTTTTTTTTTCCTCTTTCTTTCCAGGAAACGCAGATCCATCTGGATGATGCACTTAGGACAAAGGATGACCTGAAGGAGCAGGTGGCCATGGTGGAGCGCAGAGCAAACCTGCTGCAGGCTGAAGTTGAGGAGCTCCGGGCAGCCCTGGAGCAGACGGAGCGGTCGAGGAAAGTGGCTGAGCAGGAGCTCCTGGATGCCACTGAACGTGTGCAACTCCTCCACACCCAGGTCAGGGCAGGGAGCAAAGAGCTGTGTTGACACTGACCAAACACAGAGGGCTGGAATTTACCAGAGAATCAGCAGTACTAGAAAAGCCTCTCTACTGATGTCCCCAAGGAAAGGCCTTTTTTGCATCTTTTCCTCTCTGAATGCTTGGCAAGAATCACTTTCCCAGAGGGTAGTTTGACCATTGAGAAGATAGATATAAGAAAGTTGGAAGATGCCACTCATCAGGAATGGAGTTCTAATTCTCTGAAAGGATCATAAATCAGACTTGCCATTGAATCACAAAAAAGACTACGGAGGAGGGCAAATGCACATAGCATTTTTTGCATTAGAACCACAAAACAACCTGTAAGGAGTCTTATAACTGATCTCAGTAATACAATTCACTAAGAAATTTTGAAAAAAACTTCTTTTTAGGGTTTTGATAGCAGACAAGGAAGGTGTTAGAATTCCTCTCCCAAACCACTTTGTGTTATGCTTTTATAATTGTACAAAGAACCTGTCCCTGTTTCTAGGCATGCAGCAGTCAGGGATGCCCTGAAGGAAGTCTTACAGCCCCTGAATTTAAGATTGCCTAGCACAGTTTCTTCATTGTGAAAACAGTCCAGCACAGAGTGGGGCTTCTCGTTTATTTAAGGCAATTTTTCAGAGGAGCCCTCTTGTAATCAATGTCTCTCATAAATTCCTAACCCACTTAAGGATCTGCACATGTAATTGAATATTTGATTCTGCACTAAAAAAATCACATTTCCCACCTGCCCGTTTTACTTCCTTCCCACATTCTAAAGCAGAATTATGTTTATTATGCTTATACACATTATACTCTTTCTACAATGGATCTTCCTCAAAGGCAAGAATGAGGAGCTATGTGTGAGGGTGACGTGAGCAGTGGAAGAAATGGGATGGAGCTTTGTGCTTTCCCCCAAGGGAAAATCTGCACCTCAACAAAGCCAAGGTACAACAGGAACAAAGCCCCTGCCCTGGGCTTCTCACCACTGACTCTCTTTCCCCACACAGGAGGAGCTGTCCAATGTCAACCTCTCCAAGTTCCGCAAGATCCAGCACGAGCTGGAGGAAGCCGAGGAGCGGGCTGACATTGCAGAGTCTCAGGTCAACAAGCTCCGAGCCAAGAGCCGGGAGTTCCATAGGAGGATAGAAGAGGAAGAGTGAGGATGTCACAAGGCACAAAAGTGACCTGAGGGCTGCACAA